GGTTGCATTTATTCACTAAGTCCCAAGCTTGGGACCGAGCAAAGTGTTGCATTTAGGGGAGGATTGCACTTATGGGGTTGCATTTATGGAGGTTTTACTGTAGTGTTTTTAGGTATGACGTTACACACACATTTATCCTTTTACTAATTTATCCTTTTATACCGGTACAACATTATTGATCCAAAAATGTCTCTTCCTTTGGATTTGACATCACATCCTCACAGACGCTTTAATCCTCTGACGAATTCCTGGGTTTTATGCTCCCCACACCGTACCAAACGTCCCTGGCAAGGACAACTCGAAGTATCACCAACTATCAACCTCCCAGAGTATGATCCAAAGTGCTACTTGTGTCCTGGGAACACACGAGCCCAGGGAGAAAAGAATCCAATGTACAAGGAAACATTTGTCTTTGGGAATGATTTTGCGGCTGTCAAGGTCGAGACCGATATTGGAAGAATGAATGAAGCGGAAGGGGAGGCGAATGATGAGGCAGATGAAGGTGGGATTACTTTTTGAGGAAAAAGAAAATGATGTGGGTGAGTTGGAGATAATATTTTGGGGAGGAGCTATATAATTTGTGACAGAGGTAGAGGTAACAGGAATGACGTATAGCAGATCTTGTTATTGAACTGCACTCGCACATCATTTATATCATCGGTTCCTCATTGTAAAAGTTTTTACTCAATTATTTTACAGCTCCCTCGCTTTTCCTTGCCCACCGAGTTCAAGGTGTTTGTCAAGTAATATGCTATTCACCATCTCATAATTTGACGGTAGCAGAACTATCTACCACATCTATACTTTCCATAATTACGACCTGGATTGCCGAAACCCTCTCGGCCCAATCGCTCCCTTTTGTCAAATACATTCAAATCTTTGAGAACAAAGGATCGATGATGGGTTGTTCCAATCCGCATCCTCATGGTCAAATCTGGTGCACCTCAGTTATCCCAGAGGAGCCAGCTAAGGAGTTGGATAGTATGAAGAGGTACCATGACAAATGCAACAAATGTCTGCTGTGTGAGTATACGCGAATGGAGCTGGGAAAGAAACTGGAGAGAATTGTGTGTGAGAATGCATCTTTTGTGTGTCTAGTACCATTCTGGGCTATTTGGCCGTATGAAACTATGATCATTTCCAAAAGACACATAACCTCGCTGGTAGACTTGAATCAAGAAGAGAAAATTGCGTTAGCAGACATAATCGGGAAGATAACGCGTAAATATGACAATGTATTCGAATCTTCTTTTCCGTATTCGATGGGGATACATCAGGCTCCTGTTGATGGCGAGGAACATGTGTGGGACTCGCATCTCCATATACATTTTTATCCTCCCTTGTTGAGAAATCCTACTGTGAAGAAGTTTTTGGTTGGGTATGTAATATTTTAAAAGTTGGAGTTGTGTAATAACGGAATGAGATTATACATGTGCCAATCGTAATAGTATGTATAAACGCTGACTAGTTTCGGGTTTCTTCCTTGATAGGTTTGAAATGCTTGGTGAGCCACAGCGTGATTTGACACCCGAGCAGGCAGCTTCCAGACTGCAGCAATGCTCGGAAACACATTACAAGATGAAATCGACATCCTCACAATAAGTCGGGTTTATTGTACTATACAAGTGGATTAATTTATTTTTCATGTCTCGACTGATAAATATTCCGTGCAGTTATAGCACACCAGTGACTGGGATATTGAACAGTCAGATAACTTGTACAAGCAGTAATGTAAGAGTTGCATGATTTTCCGTAGATTACAGAAATCGAAGTGAATAAATATTTAAAGCTCTTTCATGCACCAAGCATAATTCGTAATAACCTGAACAAAGGGCGTTCGTTTTAACCATTCTGCAGATCTTCTTGATTGCTGGTACCAACTTCGTCGATCGCTTTTGAATAATGATAACAAATTAAATTACCGTACAAACAATCCAGAATTAATATTATTCCATACTCGTTACCACAATCTGTAAACATGCATCAACATCCTAAACTAACCTTCAGAAATTTCCAATGTTCTAAAATAGTTTTCATGATCTTCAAGTTCTCTTACAGCAATTATCTGCTTACTCGTATAGACCGTCCTGGCATCATCTTCTATATCATCCGAACGTTCGTATTCCGATTCATCGACAACGGTACGGTCATCGTCAAAGTCAAGTTCACTGCTTATATTTTGCCATTCTTCATCACCTATATTCCAAAAAGCCATTTTCCCTTTCCCATCTTCAAACGATTCCTTCGCTTCATTCTCACTATTATTGCTCTTGGATAATTGCCACAGAAGCCACCTGATATCTCCTGCAGTCGGTCTTTTTTTCACATCGGCGTCCCAACACCTTTTAATTATCATCCTTATTCTTTTGGGAACATAAGACGGAATATCTGGTCTCATGCCGTAGCAAATATCTACTGCGAGCATGTGATCATGGGTGCGATTATAGTAAGGCCGCTGATGGGTAGAAACTTCCCATGCTAGGATGCCAAACGAATAGACATCAGAATATTGTTCATATTTGTGACCTCGGAGGACTTCTGGAGCCACATAGGGAAGGACACCAAATATTTTACGACCCCCTGCTTCTTTATGTCTGTCTACATGCTTTCCTTCCTTCGCTATTTCATGTCCGATCTTCTCGTCAACGACCTTATCACATAATCCCAAGTCTGCAATAACAACATCACCCCCTTCCCCAACCAGTATGTTCCCGGAGTGCAAATCTTTATGTACCAAATTAGCCGTATGTATCTCATGTAATCCAGCAGCTATTCTGTGTAGTATTCGTACTCGTTTATGCCAGGTGAGATAGCCCCGACGAAGATAGTCACGAAGATTGCCGTGCGGTGCATAGTCGAGTATGATGGAAAAATGATTAGATGGACTCAAAGTTATACCGTGAATGTGAAGTATCCGAGAGGAGTATGTTGAGAGGCGAAGGTGAGATTCAATCTGGAGGTGGCCAAGAAAGAAAATATAGAGATGGGGGAGCATGACGTGCGTCAGAATGGCTATGCACGAGAAAAACGTGATTACAAAAAGAGATTATTGATACGAGAATTAACCACCAACCACCTCCTTCATTTCCGTTTTCCGTTTCTTCCTACTCACCTCCCTCAAAAATTCCAAATTAAATTTTGTCATTCCATCAAAAGCCTTTACAGCAACCATCATTGGCCCTTTTCTACTTGGTTTCTCAGTAATGTCGCTTTTATAAATTCGTTTTTGTCTTGAACCACCCACTGGCGCCTTGCTGTCGATAACTTTCCATAACCCTCTTTTCTCCCACGTTTCAACTTTTCCTTCTCTCCATATGGCCTTTTCAATTATTCCAAACCCCCCTTTAGCAACAAATTCAACGTCTTCCAACTCTTCATACGGAATCCATTCAAGCCAGGAGTATGGTCTAGAAAGGTTTAATTGACAGTAGTTTATAAAAGTGTCAAGCAATGTGTCGTTGGAGAGGCGATTGGGATAGAATGTAGCGTATTGTAAGAGCCGGCAGTGGGGACACCAGCGATAGGACAGGTAGGATCGACTGCAGAGGATGCAAGGGCCATGGAAGGTTGTGGACTGAGGAAGGGACGTGGATGTGAAAATGCTACCAGACATTTACTAATTCAGATTATCAGAATCATGATATAGATAACCATGATTGTCGCATCGCATAAGAGCGTATTACTTAAATGAGAAGGTATAGATTATTATTATCCCTCAAATAAAATCAATGACTGGTTTACAAAAGAAAGTTGACGTCTTATTAAATTTATGGACATGTGCTAGTTAGCAAACGACAGAATATGAAACGGCGGCACAATGCTTGGTTTGATCGATATCTGAATGATCTTAAGCATACAAGTCAAGTCGTCTATCTAGCCACAGCACTTCTCAAGTATGGATTGACCGACTAATACAATAGTCCCGGCTTAAACAGTGTTGGACGCGAGACCCGATGACGGGTATGCGATCTTGTTAAAGAGCATATTTTAGCTTGAGACAAATCATTATTTGTGGTTGTACCGGAGTTCTTTGAAAATAGACTATATAGTTCATATTGATTTATTCACATAATAATAAGTTTAGTTACAGTTGACCTCTTGCCAAATTTTACAAATAATACATTAAGACTTTATAATTCTACGTTGATTGCAAATTAGCATGCCAAATTTACTCATCGGGATATGAGTTGTCGAATTCCATTCGGTAGTTTTCGTTCACATATTACGAAGGCTGTTTCTTGTTAAAAACAGAGAATGCGTATTTTTTCCGAGGTAAATGGATGGGTGCTGGTTCAGTTGGTACAGTTTCGTATACACTCGTAACCTTCTCGCCGGACTCTGGGTCAGCTTTTGTTTGGCGACGGTTTGGATTTGCTTTACAATGAAGTATACAGCAACATATACAAGGAAGAATTATACAGGCAACAGCTACACAGATAAAGATAATAGCTTTTGTCGTGAGTTTCTCTGTTTTCGCTCCGGTCCCGCCGTATGCTGCCGTTGTTCCTGGACCAGTTCCTGGCGTTGTTGAGCCCACTCCAACTCCAGCACCACTACCCTGAGACAGGACAGTATTTAATTGTAGTATGATACATGTGCAAATTAATAAGAATGCATTCATCTCGCAAAGTTGTTATCGCTGTTTGCGTTAGAAAAAAGTCTCCTTTAAATAAAATTTGTCATGTCGGATGTTTAGTAATGGTTGAAACACAACGCCCTTATCTACCCAAAAATGGGTCCAATTGCAGGTCTATGACAATGTAAGATAAAGGAAATTGTACGTCGATCAAAAATGTCGCACAATCTTTTGGCTTAACTATACTCTTTTACGGATAATCGTCAATGCAGCAATGGGTATTACAAACATAGTCAGTACTTACATATGAAGGTATTTTTTGTCGATCTTTGAAGGATCAACTTCGTTTAAGGTCCAAAAAATACTTTTTAGAGTCGCCAAATTTGTCATTTTACATTTTAAACAAAGTAAACGCAGACCACTTTCTTCAGTTGACCAGTCTATGAGGCCAACGGATAACTGGGCGTGTATTCGAACTATGGCTAAAAGAGTTCTGTCAGCGAATGACTGGACTCGATGTCATTTTGATAGCCAATGCATCCAGCCACGCTGTTAATACCGTAGAACTCCAGAATATAAGTTTCTACTTCCGACTTCCAGAATTCAGCGTGATGCGGGTATCATAATGTCATCTAAACGGCACTATTCGTCAAGTGGCTCTTGAAGCAAACGCCCGTAAAAGCGAAGTCTACAGATTGATTGTTTAAATGCTACACAGTGAAACTCGATATGACGGAGGCTACGGTTCCGACCTTTTCTCCATTAAATCGAGAGATCTGCTAAATCGAGTTTTCACAATATACCGGATATCATAACAAATCATATTATACAGTGAGACTCCTCTAAATGCATACTGTCGGGACCGCAGAAATTTATGCATTTAGAGGAGTTATGCATTTAG